CCCTCATACCATTGGAGGGCCGGACTATAGTTTTTAAAAAAAATTATGAACAAATTCCTATGCACACTGCACATGTCTTATTTTGAATTAAAAAAACAAAACGGGAACAAATACAATATTTGTATTTGCATGTGGCCCGCGGGCCGTAGTTTGAGAACCCCTGATCTACACAATGGAATACTATGCTGCTATAAAAAAGAAGGAACTTTTACCATTTGCAACAGCGTGGATAGAACTGGAGAGCATTATGCTAAGTGAAATAAGCCAGTCAGAGAAAGGTAAATACCACACGATCTCACTCATATGTAGGGTATAAGGATCAACACAATTTGATGAACAAGAGTAGATCCAGAGACCAATGGCAGGGGAGGGGGGTTAGAGAGCAGCCAAAGGACTTGTATGCACATCCGCATAACCCATGGACACAGACACTGGGCGGTGGGGGTTGCCCAGGGTGGGAACGGCTGGGGAGTGGGGGTCAAGCGGGGAAAAGGAGACCTATGTGAAACTTTAGATAATGAAAAACAAAGTGGGGCTGTCTTCGAAGATCTGGTGTGGGCCCCAGTGGCAGAGCTTCTCAGCCAGGGATGCGCAGAACATGGTCCCCAGACGGCAGCTTCTGCAGCGCAGCGCATCACCAGGGGCCTGTTGGAAAGGCAGATTCCTGCCGCCCCCTCACCTCCTGAACTAGACCTGGAGGCAGCCCAGCGCTGGAAGTGAGAGTCGCTGTGTAAGCGGAGCCCTCACAGGACGACTGGCAACAGAGCTTTCCCCTCCGGCTACAGCGGAACTGGAGGTGGGGTCCAGGGGGCGGGGGGCGGGAGGCCTGGAAACCACCCTGATGGTCCCCAGTGTGACCCCGGCTCCAGGTGCCCCCCTCCCAGGCTGCCCGGGAAGGGAGGGGTTAGAGTGTAGGAACAGGATTGCATTTGGCAGCTTGTGACCCTGAGGAGTGACTGATGAAACACCGATGACCCACTGTGCGTCCCGATGAGAGACCACAGTGAGTCAGCTTTGATCCCTGCCCACCGGGAGCTCGGCTCCAGTGGGAAAAGCGGATCAATAACCCGACAGCGGCCCCGCGGCAATTCCTGTGACAGTGAGTGACTACGGTGTGTCCGGGACTGTGAATACGGGGAGGGAGCCACGGGAGAGGCTCAGGGAGGGCCCAGCTCCCGGGAACGGCTGTGGGTTACGTGGAGCAGGTCCCAGACCTCCCTTCCCACCGAGAGAGCGTGCGTGAGCCTTCATCCTCAATCTGATGGTGCAGAATAAAGTATTTAAGAAGTGACTCAAGTAAGTGACGCCTGAGGCAAAGGGTCCGGCTTAACGTTGGACAAGAGGAACCTTTTAATGTGACTTTCAGCACCTCCACGCCCGGGAAGGCGTCCCCAAAGAACCCCCGGGAAGCCGGGATTTGAGGGTGCACACTCACCCCGTCTCAGAGAAGCCACTGAGCGTGCACCTGAGTCCAATACAAAGGGATATTGCTGGTGAACTGCTAAGTGGAGAGAGAGAGAGAGAGAGAGGGAGAGAGAGAGAGAGAGAGAGAGAGGGAGAGATTGAGAGAGAGAAAGGGGGGGAGAGAGGGAGAGAGAGAGGCCTTCCTACTTTGTCACTAAGGGCTTGAGACTGAAGGCAAATGCTGCCTGGGCGGAGGTGCAGGGTCCGCGTACAGTGCCCTCTAGCGGCAGCCCAGCGCCCTTGTCTGAGCGGAGCTGCTTTTTCATGCATTGAAGGTAATTTTCTATCTATTTTCCAGCACAGTAACAAAGGGTGCACTGGCTCTTGTTTTTGTCATTAAGCAATTATGAGCAATTCCGGAGTGAGTGGCTTTTTACTCGTATTAATTATTCATCTCCTAGAGTGAAAAAAAAATCACTTTTTTTTACTTTTCTTTTTAAATAGGTTAATTCTGTTAAATTTGTGTTTAAAGTTAACTTGCATTTAAATTTAAGGTAAACTGTTACCGATATAATACTTTAGAAATTATGTGCTTCATGGGAAGTCTTGGGAGATATCTCCATGCCCTCATTTTCCATAATATGTCTGAGCCTCACGGAAAACCAACCATAGGAAATCGTTCTGATGAGGCTTCTATGTTTGTTAGAGTTGAGGCAGCCCTCTTTCTGACATTATTAGTCAACAGCATTGTAGGGGTATTAGCTATAATTTCATTTATTATTAAAAACTTGGCCACACCCTTACTTCTTTCCTTGGAAGCTAGCAGCTTGCTGGCCGGTGTTTTTTAATTGGGATGCACAGTGGACTTCACCTATGAC